CTGCCACACTTTTATTTGTGTGTGTGCTTTTCTGGGAACTGCTGCACTGTTTGCTCTCCTCACTGAACTTTAAATTTGTATGCTGCACACTAACCTCTGTGATCAACAGCAGTGTTTTCCAGTCCACAGGGGTCCCTCTTAGAGAAATGTCAAAGAACTTTTTCTTTTCAGCCAGAATACAACACGTATTAGTTCCAGGCTGTTTTGCCGAAATGCCAATTAAAAACGGTCAACCTCGGAGGCTGAGTGAGTTTAGAGTGCAACGCTAAACTAAACAAGACTGAGGCCGCAGACACTCTAAATACTTTGAATCTTTATTAGACGTTTACTCATTTAAATTACTGCTGCATCACTGATTTGCAGTATGGAGCCCCAGTGCGCACAAAATTTCATGAATAACTATAACATTATCACAGGGCCGTAATCACCTGTTCAGCCATCACCTTCTGCAACCCAACGATCTTACGGGGGTCTCGGGAGAATTCCCCCAGCGGACATGTTTAAAAACTCAATGGGCTACCTAAACAGACAGGGTTCTAAAAGTTTTATTGACTAAGCGCCATTTTAGGGAGCCGGCAGATGATTGAAGGCCGCACGGGAAAAATGTACACAGACTTCTTTATATAATTCTATTGACATTTTCCAGACATCTTTATGACATATAATACTATTGAAATTTTTAATGACATATATAATATGACTTTTTATTGCCTCTACACTTAGCTGTGGTAACACTCATAGTGTTCGGCTTTAATATATTTGAAAGTAATGACATAGAGTATCCACAGCAGCCAAGCAATGGCTTCTCCTGGGGTACGGCAACACCACTTAGACAAACCACACCCAGAAGTGCAGCAAACCTTAAAACTAGACCCAGTAGTTGTAATAATAATAACAGCAATTTGTAAAATGTCAGCAGATCGGACAGTGGTGAGTGGTTGCCTATCGTAACATGGAAGTTTTACATATATATTATACATATATTAATTATCCCTCCCATATATTTAGAGGAGATGTTTGCCCCCCACTATATGATAATTAGTGCCAAGACATTATGAAATACATACTACGAATAAATTGTGTAAATGTTCCCAGAAATTGTGAAATAGTGAGAAATTGATTAGAAATTATTAAAATAATTAATTTATCATGAAAGTTCTTTAAAAATTTAACTGTAATAACTGGAGGCTGCTGTGAATAAACACAGAACACCTACACCTCTCCTTTTATTAAATTTAACAGCCAACTAGACGGATTATTACTCATCATCATCAAACTGAAAAGACAAGTGTTCAGGAAAAAACTAACTAGTCTATTCAGAGTTGGCTCGACAAGGTTTGATTTTAACATTTTTGAGAAAGACACAAAACTGTGTCAAGATAACAAGACAAAAAAGACTGTTGGTGAGCTTGGCAGGCAGAGGGCATGTGCTTGGTTGAAAGGGATGGACTGAATAGCTCTGCAATGCATTAAGAAAAAGAAAACCCTGCATCTGTTTCTTAGTGTTTTTTATATTTCTATTATTTTTTTTTACTAAATAGCAACATATAAAATAACAAACCCTCTCTTTAATATTTTTGGCCTTGTCGCTGTCTCGTGGGAATTTCTCTGTCCCTTTCAGAGTGCATTCTCTAGTGTTTATTGCTTTGATGCAGCCTTTGTTACCTGAATCAACTGTATGTTGCTGAGTGTTTATTTTCATCATCTCTTAATCTTTTGTGTGGATTACATTAATAAATTAACCCCCTGTTATTGGCTTTTTCCTTGCTCGGCTTTAGTTGCACTGTCTCCCATCCACCCGCGGCGAAACACCATGCACCAGAGAAAACCGCAAAATGCAAGAGACACTCACACTGAGCTAAAGCGAGTGCTCATAATCTTAAAGTGAACAACATAAATAAACACTCCATTTTACTGTCGTTTATGGTGTGTGGTGTTTTGCAGTGGGTGGGGCGCAGATTGGCGACGATGGCTGCACCCATTGAGTTGCTGTGCATGAAATCTTTGCCACTAAAAACGCCCTCATTACCAACCCCGTCTGTTCTGAAGTTGATGAATACGGCGTTTCAGGCAGTGACCTCTGACTTCAGACTTCAATGTAAAAAGCTGTCCTTTAACGTCAGCATGACACCATCAGTGTGTAACAGTGCCTGATGGCGTCAGAGGGAAAGAGTGATAAGTTAAGGTGGCGAAAAGTCCGAGTAGGGTGGGTGGGAAACGGGGATAGATGTGTCCAACAATCACCTACTACCCAGGAGGCCGGTGTTTGCTTCCTGTATGAATGTAAAGCCAAATCCTGTTATTTTTTATTTTTATTTTATTTTATTTTTTTAATATATATATTTTATTGATTTTAATTTTCAGAATGCAAAAGGAAACAGAAAAACAAAACAGGACAACAGAAAGAAAAACAAACAAACAAGCATGACAGCACCTGAATCACAAATCATAGCAAAATGGCAGCATCGACAATATACATCACAGGACAAGCACAGCACAAAAGGAAAATTTACTCCATTCCTGTGTTAGGTCACAAGTTTTCAAGGAAAAGGGGGTTGATGAGAAGATACATTCTTAAAATAAAATTACAAAAAAGAAGGGAATAACTATCAATTGGAATTCATTCTGAAAGTTAAAATTTCATATGGCAGATGCTCTAAAATTGGTTGCCAGATTTAAAAAAAAAAAATGTATTGTTCCCCCCTAGCAGGTAGCAGAAAGGCTTTCCATTGGTAAGATCTTATATATTCTCTGTACCACTGCGTTACTGTTGGGGGTTTGTCTTTAATCCATTGGAACAAAATACATCGTCTAGCTAGTAACATGAGTTTTGTTATAAGTGTGTACTGAGAGGGGTTAAGATCGAGACCTTCTAGAGAGAATCCCAACAGAAACAATGCAGGTTCCCTTTTAATGTCCATGCCCAAGATTGTACAAAGCTCTTTTTTAATATTTTTCCAAAAACGTGCAATAAAAGGGCATTTCCATATTAAATGAAAATAAGTTCCCAACTCTTTCTTACATTTTTTACACATGGGAGATATATTGGAGTTGCATTTATTGATAAACTGGGGTGTACGTTGTAGCCTGTGAAATATTCGGTATTGGCTCTCATTTAACCGATGAATAGAAGAATATTTTACTTGACAATGAAAATATCTTAGACCACTCTTCCTGGCTAGATTGGATTCCTAGGTCCTTCTTCCATGTACTAATAATTTTATCAATGTTATACTTGTCCAAGGACTGTAGCTTCTGATAAAAAATGGAAATAAACTTTTTTGTAATATTTGGAATGAGAAGAAGGTCATCAAGAGTGCTCCTAACGTACTTATCATCAGGAAACTTGCAGGCAGAGAATATAAAATGTCTGATCTGCAAATATGCAAAAAAGAATGTGAAGGATATTCCATATTTAATCTGAAGTTGCTGAAAAGACGTAATTGTTTCTGCTTCAAACAGGTCTCCGATTGTTTTAATACCTTTTGTAAACCACTCTTCAAAAACCCCTTTCCCTTGTCAGGTAAAAAGAAATTGTATTTACTGTTATTTTTTTCTAAACACAACCACATGCTTTTGTTGCTTGAACCTAACCACGTTGGCTAAATGTACACGTGCGATTGTTGCTGAAGGAAAGAAATACAGTACCAGTACCAATATCTTGGAAATCAGATTTGGACATCCCTCGTTATTATGATATTATGAAATGTTATTTCATTATTTTTTATAAGGATTTAAGTTTGAATATGTTCCTAAATTAAATAGCCATACATCCATTCATTTTATATGTTTTACATGATTCATTTATTTAAATTTCATACAGTCTAATTTATCTGTTTAGTACTGAACACCATATTCCAGACGGGTGTTTTGGTGAAGGACTCCTGTGTGTTGCATTTCTTTCAGTTACGTAGCAACAATATGTGCATTACTGTACTATTTTCCTCTGCCACATCTAGCTGATCCATCTGCTCTCAGTGCATCTGAGCATCGAGGGTACACCCAGAACACAAAAGCATTAATGGGCTTTGATACGTTCAGCACATATCATGCTTTGTCATGGCCTTTTAAAAAGCACTTGCATCTGAGAGCTGAGCCAATCACACCGCATGCAAACAAACCCACTTCAAAGCTTTTGTAACACACTTCCAGCAAAGCAAGAAGTCTCTGCAGAAGTTCCAAATGTTTGAATTTTAAAACCAAAACAGATTGTGATTTAAGCTCTGATTTTCATTTTCGACACCAAAGCAGATTTCAATACAGGGTTTAGTTGACATAAATCTACAATACGCTTAGGACTAATTGCAGTAAAAAGGTTAAGGTACGACACAAAATCTGCTTTAGTCTCAATCCAACATTAAGAGCAGTTGGAGGGCTGTGGCAGAAGCACTAAAGCCTTTTGTTTACTTCTCAGCCATTAGCTCCAAATCAGGTTGAATCATATGATTACTTAGATGTCTGTTAATCTAATTAGACAAATGTGTCTTCTTGGAAAATCCCATTGCAAGGGCACAAAACTGGGATTTCTCTCTGGAGGCCTGTCAACATTGTGAGCCGTGCCCATGTCCCTCCCTCCCACAACAACACGTGCCATCATCTTCTTAAATCAATTTTCAAGGTTTCGAGTAATTGCAAGTACAACTTTGACTGGAAACTTTCTCTGCAGCCCTGCCGACACAATTTTATCCATTAACCTAATACCCAGTGTTTTTTTTAACAACATCTAAATATGAAGTCTGTAAAATAACCACTCACTCAGAAATCAGTGTTGTGCAGGATTCTTCTTTCTTTGATCTGCGAGTAATTTTAACATGAACAGACAACCACAGAAACACACACAAACACTCATGTGCAGAGACTGACATGCGGTATGGGGAACAAGAGAAGAAAAAAAGAAGTGACACAGGAAGAGAAAGCCGAACGACGGGGATGAGTCAAGTACACCTCATGGCAAAAAAAAAAAAAGAGAGAGAGAGAGAGTACAAAGAGGATTGGCCAACCTGTGTTCTTCTGCGCAATCATACATACAGGTCCACAGAGAGTCTGCATAATGCCAAAGAAAAACAGAAACAAGACAGCAACTCAGACAGCGTGTAGCATCCAGGGCACAGTCTGACAGCTTCCTTTCTGTTTTACTTCCTTCTGTCTAAGTGTCTGACTCTGTGATATGCTGAGAGGAGATGAGAGGAGGGTGAAGAAGTGTGACTGAAAACAACATGGCTACATGGTGCTGATGAAATCTATTTTGTCACCGTTTCTCATGGTCATTAATTATAGCATTATGGTTTAGGACAGTTAACATGACAAAGGAATTTGTGCCCACACAGATAGAATACCTTGCACCTATCAGCCAAAACATTCAAACCACTGACAGGTTTTGTTCCGATGCATTGTTCTGCTGGGAAACCTTTGGTTCTGACATTCATGTGGATACCACCTGACATGTTCCACCCACTCAAACACTGTTACAGACCAAGTACCCCCCGTCATGGCAACAGTACTCCCCAATGGCCCCCAGCACTAAAAAGCAGCATGCCACACTACAAAAACTGTTTAGAAATGGCCTGTGGAGCGTGACAAAAAGCTCAAGGTGTCGACCTGGCTTCTAAATTTCCCAGGTCCCAATCTGCTCAAGGATTCTTGTGATGTGCCGGTACCCCAGATGTACTCCTAATTCAAGGTGGGGCCTCCTTGAATCGGACTTGGCTCTGACCTGTCGAGGCATGGACACAGGATCTCTGGGAGTGTCCTGCTGTGTCTTGCACCAGTGTGTTGGCGGCAGATCCATTTAGTCCAGTGGGTCGTGAGGTGGGTTAATGGCACGTGCCACAGATGCTCATTCAGATTGGGATCTGGGGAATTTGGAGGCCAGGTTGACACTTTGAGGTCTTTGTCACATTCCTTAGGACATTCCTGAGCGATGTTTGCAGTGTGGCATGGTGCATTATCCTGCTGGGGGGCCACTGCCATTGGGGAGTACTGTTGCCATGAGGGGTGGAACGTGTCAGGTGGTATCCACATGAATGCCAGAACCAAAGGTTTCCCAGCAGAACAATGCATGTTAACAATATGATCAATGTTGTTCACGTCACTTGTCAGTGGTTTTAATGTTCTGGCTGACCGGTGTATAACACCAATGGGTCACTGCAGGGTTTCACATAAAAATAAAAACAAAAACAGGGTCCACAAAGAGTTAAAAAAAAATACGTCCACATGTTTTCAGAGATTGGATAGGGAATCAGTGTTCCCGGGATTCATGAACCATGCCGAATTAGTTTAGACCTGGCACGACACTTCTACCGCAGCATGCCTGCAGCAGAGCATGACTATTATAATCAACTGAAGCAGTGACAATGACCATGTGAGCTGTGCTTGCCAGTGCGGGCACCGCGCTGCTCAACACTATTTTTATGTGCTGCTCTTTTTTTTTTTTGGTTCTCTACACACAGCTCCACAGACCTCCAACTTGTAAAAACTACAAAGAACTGTGAAAAAAACAAAGAAAAACGAGTGCAATCTGTTTGAAAATGATGAAAATAAAAACCAGCATTGTATCAGAGGCAATGCCAGGTTGATAAAATTCCCATAAATCAACACTGAAATTTCAGATCTGTTTCAACTTTGAAACAATTTTGAAACATCTAAAGTTGTGAAACAATACTAGCACAACATTACGAAATCAACCACGATTCATCTTTCAAAATCAAAACATAATTCAACAGTGATTCAGACATGGTGTATGACACTGATCAAACACTGATTAAACATTAGAATGCCAGCTGGGACACGCTTCCAAACCTGCATAACCGACTGCACTATCACTTCACAAAACTCAACATGCACACCCTACATGACATGTTGTGTCTGTGCCCCATTTCGGCTGTTAAAGCCAAATTATTTGGTCAGTTTTGCAGGTCTACATATTTCAATTACATAAAAAAAAAATCATCCAAATGAGTCTAGTAATACAAACAAACTACAAAAAAAACAACATTTATTTAATTAAATCAAATAAAACTATAAGGATAGACTATGAGAATAGTCTTTTTTGGTTTATATTAGAATCACTTGACTCAATAAGATGGAAATTTCATGTGTAATCTAAATATGTAAACCTGGTCTGCAGCTTGGCAGGCGCCTCGCCTCGGTGTCACACCACCCACTATCCCCTCCACCTCCTGCTGACATCGTCAGCTCACATACCACACACTTTAGACACACTGATATCATACATATGAAATGTATAATTGTGATATATATTCACATATATTGCAGAGATGCACAGTGCCAACATTAACTTAAGGCGACTAGGCTGCATGAGGAGCTACTTCCCTCGGGTCATCTGAATCCTGAACAAGAACACCGACAGGGTTCCTGACAGACTACAGACTACTCCTCTGATGTTGCTGACAATTACCTCCAAGCATCGTTCGGTTACATTGTAACCTTGGTTCTCTGAGTGAGTAGTTATGTCATAACTATGGGAATTATCATCATCTGGGGTAATCCACATGGAAAATTAATAATCTTTAAGACGCCACTTTACGTGGTCAACATTGATTGGAACGGGTACCGAGTGGCCTTCAGTCTGGGGAGATAATCTCCTCACTCAGAGAACCAAGGTTACAATGTAACCTAATTTTCTCTATCTCCCCACCCAGTAGTTATATCATAACTATGGGAACCCTTTAAGACACACCGCTAGGGGCCCCAGGAGACAGAGCTCATGCAGGTCCACAAGTGCCCCCCCTGGTATTTGAAGACGTCCCCGCCACCAGGTGCATTAACAACAGAAAATACCCAATAGTTGTGTATATACAAAAAAACACCAGTGAACTATAAACAAATGTACAACATCTTGCGCATTCAACGGTCAGTGACACCGCCACTGTACCGATGCCCAGGTGCCAGAACCAACCATATGCACGAGAGGCAGAGGTTGGGTGCAGGAAGACCGCTCAGGTGGCCAGCCTGCTGCCAGGCCACTGACAATAATATATGACATCACGCTGGCTGGGTAAGGCACCCCTCCATTACATGGGCACGCTGCCCCCCCAAACTAAATCAGGCTCGAGCGAGCTGCTGTGCCTAAACCGTGCTTAAACAGACAGCTGCAATACATGGATATGGCACCGCTCTCAACTGTTTCACTCCTTATTCTCAAAAAGAAGAAACCGCGTTTAGCTAACCTCGAGAGGGACCCGCAAAGGCCTATCTCTGGATACGATAGAGAACCACACCATATTTCACACGTATCTTTTGTTGGACATGTTTTCTTTGCTGTATACATTGTATTGATGATACTCCATCAAGAAAAGTACTTGAGGAGGCCATAAAGAATTTCACTGCACAACGTAGAGATGAGATGTTGATAGAGATGTTGAGTATGTGACAAATAAAAATTTTAAACTTATTGGCCAAGGCTTTATCACCAGCATTCCTTTTCTTAAAGCTTTCTTTTTTCAACACTCTCTGTGTGAAGGTAAGGCCATGCAGTGTTACAGAAATCTTTTTCCTCAATTTAATTACTATTCTGACATCGTCATGTCATATTAAAATATATAAAAAATGTGAAATGCCCAACAATAAATTGCTGTCACTGGGTTCATGCTAATCAAACTCTCCTTTGTATTCTGACCCCTACTTTCTCACAGGCCCTTCTGTGATTGTTGTTTTCAGCTCCGAAGCCTTTCAACATCTAGACTACGTACAGGAAGGACAACCGCAACGAAGGTCAGTGTAAGTGCAGTTGAAAATAACTATTGAGCATTGCTGGCATGGAGTTTTGAAATGGAGCTTGGTGGATATTTCTCTGTCCAGACAATTCTTTTAATATACAGTCACCCAGTTTTTGTGTCTGGAATGTCTTTTGAAAGATGAAGTTTGAGTGTATTAAAATAGGAATGACATCAATGAGCATCGCAAGAGCCCCCTCAAGCAGACTTGAGTCTGTATTCTTTCAGATTTCTTTTCCCGTTGCATCATGTTGATAATAAAGCATGACTGTTCAGGGCACCTGTAGATATCTTCAGTTGTAAAACAGAAGGCAAACCACCTCCTCTTTCATTTCTGTCTGGGGAGTATCCAGGACTGTTTCCATGTCCTGCAGCCAGGCCGCCCAAACTGCTGAATGCCTCAAGTGATAACTCATGCCAGAAGTAACAACTTGATTTTTTTTTTTTTTTTATACACGGTATACTGTCAGCAGCTTGGCTCCTTACAAGGGCCAACTGGTGTGTGATGCAGTCTGTTTTCAACAATGGGGAAGTCTCCTTTTGCCTTAGTTCAGCTTCAGATTTAGGACTAAACTTTGTTCATTTAGCCTATTAACCTCACCATTAAATTCTATCCTACAGCAACTGTGGGTGTTTTATTGAGTTAAGCTCCGACCATTCAACCTCCACCTCCAACCAGAATTTGAATCACCAAAGTTCAGCTATAAACATTATATATGAAGCCCAGGGGAACAAGCTGTTGAGACATTAATAATCTCTATAAACACATATCTTAAAGGGACAGTGCACCCAAAAATGAAAATACAGCCATTATCTACTTACCCATATGCCAAGGGATGCTCAGGTGAAGTTTTAGAGTCCTCCCATCCTGCTTGTGCGAGACCGTGAGACATGGGCACTGCATTCATGTGTGTTCACATGCTTTCGCTGGTCTTGCATGCAAGCGTGCACACGTGAACGCGGTGCACAGAGAGGCAGTTAGAGCTACAGGCTACAATGAGGAAGAGTTCAAATTACGTTTTTCCACACAACTTTTTATGTCGGGGCTTCAGGACACTTGGATCACTACGGACGAGCAGTATGGAGATATTTTGTGGTTTCAATTGTGTTTTTGGACGTTTTAATCTGAGGCGCCATCAGCCTCCATTAGGTGGAGTTGTGGTGCTACCCCCTCTCCCCTTGGATCTCCGCAAGCAGGGCTCAACAATAAGGATTGCCCGATTGCCCGGGGCAAGTCAAACTCAAGGTCGGGCATGTAAACTAACAACTCACTTGCCCGATCGGACAAGTTGCTAAAAATAGTCAAAG